GTTGCTAATGCTAATGCTAGCACCTACATTTCTAAGGAAGTTCTATAATTGATCAGCAGTTCCTGAAACTGCAAAACTGAATGGACAGAAAAACACTTTACACCAATCTGATGAAGGACCTGAAGAGTTTTTAATTTATAGATTAAAAACTATAAATTACTTTGTTGCTGAGCTCATATGTTTATTTATTCAATAATTTAGCAGGAAAAAAGTGTTGCTCAAACTGATGGAGTCAGCAGCCTTGATGTGTGAGAGAATATTTGTGGGCTGATGATGAAAGAGGGGCAGTAATAACATACAGAAACCACATATTTACATACACTGAAAACTTTCAGGTATTTAGTGAAAACCTTTATTTCCTAACTGCCAGAACGATGAGCAGGTGAAAATGCTACAGCATGTAATTTTTATAAAGAAATGTTTTTTAACATATTTGTTAAAATTATTATGTCATCACAGTGTAATAAGATATAATCTGCGAAAAAATGAGTTCCTGTTCCTTCTCCCAGATCTAGAAATCCACCTCAGTCAGAAACAACCAGTCAGAGCCAGGAGGCGGGTCTTAGCGCTGCCAATCACTCTCATGCCCACCTGCTCCTCCTAAGTCTCTTCTATGCTGCAGCTGATAGCTACCTGACAGGCTACAGCATAGCCTGTCATGAATGCTATCGCTAGTTAGCGTAGCCTCCAGTGATGGTGGATAAACAGTTTTCCTGGAACATTAGTTGTTGCTCTGCCACTGGCACATTGAGCAGCATTGATTGACAGAGCTAAGACCCGCCTCCTGGCTCTGATTGGTGCCTTTCTTCAGTCGGTAGCTCAGACAGGAGGCCGATCTTTTCACAGATTGTCTCTCATATTTCGCTGCGGTGACATGATAGCAGTTTTAAAACATGTTTTAAAAGTTACACGCTGCAGCTTTGTAACAGATTTATTGGTTTCTAAAGGATCCATTTATAGGTCTGAGCTTTAACTTCCTGGTTGATGCTTGAAGTGATGCCTCAGTGTTTCCACACCGTGTTCTCCTCATGATGACATGTATTTTTTGGAGAGCACCAGTCCTCCCACCCCTGCCCTCCACCTCCTTACTTCATAGGAGGGATGATTTTCTCAGACCTGCAAACTTCCCCTTTTTCCCTGAAAACGTATTGAAGTTATCGTGACTGATCAGTTCCACTTCATGTTCATGAGTCGACACTCAAATCTGATATGAATTCTTCCTCCCTGATTGGCCTTTGATTCGTGTTGGCTCTCTCATATTGTTTGAAGGCACAATAATCTTCCATTTAAATTCGTAATAAAAAAATTCCCTCATTTTTCTTGGCATACAGAAATAATGTTAACCTTAACCTGACAGCAGAGGTTTGATCTACAGTTCAGTAATTTTCTTCTGTGAGATGAATCATGGAGATGCATGAGTCACCTCAGCTCTCTTAAAAGCACTTTAATGTCACAAAGTGTTGGGATTATTTGCGTGTGTTTCCAAGAAAGTGTGCTCTACACCTGCTCAAAGAGAATGAAAGTTGGGTTGGATTTTTACTGACCTTTAGGGAACGAACGTGTTATTTAGGAGCTTCCTGTGCTGTTTGAACACGCCGGATACCAAAACCAAGATCTTCGCTCAGTTAATCTCCATCTGAACAATCGAAAGGTGGGGGAGTGAGTCGCAGGAAACGTAAAGATGCAACCTGTGTGTTTGTTTGTTTGTATGGCATGTGGGTGCTGCATGATGATGGTGAGGATGATGTCATCCGGCAACTTGTTGTGGTCGGATTGTGTTTGCAACGCTGGAATGAATAAGTCGAGGTGAGACAGAAAGGAAGAGTTTCCCAACTGGGTTTAAACTACAGTGTGGATATAAAGTCATCGTGCTGAACATCCAGCGGCCCACACACAGTTTACCCACAATCCCATGGGCCACAGTTAGCAGCTACTTCTAAGACTCCCTCAGAAAATCAGCACATTCACCAGCATGCAAAATGAGCAGAGAAGCAAAAGAATTAATCAATAAAAATATCGATTAAATAGCAGATTAAAAAAACATTGAAAATAAAATACATTGAGGGAAAATCTCTTTTTACCTAATAATCATAACAGTAACAATTGCTCATGTTACTAATATTATTATTGTTACTGTTGTTATTAATGATATTTCACAATAATAACCCTAAACTATTATTCAAAGAAATTTTAAAAATATGAAAAAATGAAATCTTAATGGCAGATAAATGAAGGAAGAAGAAACAAAAAAATCAGACAAATAATGAAGGAAATAATAAAACAACAAAAAATAACAGTAAAATCCAAGTTAAATAATAACAAATTTAACAAAGGAATTAAAAAAATGACCAGTTTATTTTTTAATACAATAAATATACGACCATAAAAACAAAAAGGATAGAAAAGAAACGTCACAAAGTAAAACAAACAAAATAAATAAATAAAATAAACCAAAAATTAATAAAGAATAAAAGAAAAACACACAAAAACATTTTATTAAGAATAAAATAAAATACTCAAAAATAATTAAAACTCTGATTATAGAAACCAGATGAGACACAAAGTTTTTAATCTGGATACAGCAGAGATCACAGAAACCCAGAGTGGTTCTGGTTCTGGTGGTTCTGGTGGTCCCATCAGGACCATCAGAACCATCAGGACCACCAGAACCACCACGACCATCAGAACCTGGCTGGAAGCAGGATGTGCAGATCCTGCTGAGAGGAGCTTCTGGTGGCAGCAGAGTGGAAGTCGGTCCGACAGAACCGGCTGGAACATCTGGACCGCTGCGGTCCGGGAGGAGGCTGGAGGAGAACAAGATGGAGGACAGAGGTCAGCAACAGGAAGGACGTTCATGCGTGGGGGCGGAGTCCAAAATAAAACATTTCATTAACAGAAACAAATTTGGAAATGTGAGGGTGTCATTCTGGTGATTCACTGGAAGGAAGACGTTGTTAGCAGCTGCTGCTCATGTCTGATTAAAGCGAAGACGCCTCACAACTCATGGTTCTTAATCACTATCACCATGGCAACAACATCACAGCCGACCGGAGGTTAAAGATCTGCCTTAGCAGCTCCAACGTGGCAGGAACCAAACAGAACCACCAACGGTCCGATGAGCTGTCGCCGTCGGCAACAAGGATGTGCAAACAGTTTTTAATGCATTATTTTTAAAAAATTAATGAATAATACTTGGTGTACTTTGAGGTGAATGAAACAAAAACACACAACTAAACATCTACAAATCAATAAGGATCAACAAAACTGGGTTTTGCAAAAAAAAAAATCCACTTTAATATAAACAAAATAATTTCTAGAAATTGAGAATTAAATAAAATTGTGACAAAATATGTGATTACATTAATATTCACCCTTTTCAGTGAGTAATTAGTAGAAGCTCCTTTGTGTGGATTGATGTGCAGCTTCCCCTGACTGATACGTTTTAATGAGCTCTTCTCTGATTGGTTGGAGTGATGCAACGATGAACCAATCACTTATTTTATATTAAATATTTGTAATTAATTGTCCTCATTTACATTTTGTATAAATCCATTTTCACTTTGACATTAATTGGCTCTTCGTATTTTTTGGTAAAAAATAAAAATAAAAAAAACGGTCGAGTTCTGTTGATCATGATTGATTAATAAAAATAATAAAAAGGGTAAAAATAATCCGATGGGTGAATACGTTTTATATGCTCAAAATTGTGTTTGTGTGACATCATTTACAAGATAGCAGGGAATATTTAATGTATTTAAATGACTTTTCTGATCCGTGTTTTTACAATATTCAGGTTCTGAACAGAACCTGAACAGAACCATCAGAAAGAGTCCAGTGAAGCTCCTGAAGGAAACCAGTCACATTTAGGTTGTGGGTTTAAACATGAACATTTCCATAAATACATCAACACGTTGTTTTTTCTGCAGAGGAGAAACCTGAAGGCAGGAAGTTAAAGGAGGGTCCAGAACCGGAGACGGACGGATAAAAGTAGAAACTGGAAGCGATGATACCTGATGATTAATGATGAGCTAACGGTCCGTTACAGCCGCTCAACCTCTGAGGTGATGCAGTTACTGCTTCGTTTGGTGGAACAGTTTTTATCTTACAGGTTGAAGGTTTTCTGTTGTTTCTCCCTCTGCATGTCAGTGATCTCTCTGGGTACTCCAACTTCCTCACAGTCCAAAAACAGGACTGAGATTAATTGGATTGATGGATTAATTGATCAGGTCTTTTTCAGATCAAACAGATGCTGTGGGTAACAAGAAGCCGCGTTTCAGGCGTTCAGCCGACAGAACCAAGCTGGTCTTGTTAAATCCTGAATCATCGGATTACCAAACCTTCCTGAGCTGAGATTATGCTTAGAGATTATGTGCTTTTGTTTAACTTGGAATGTCTTATTTTCAGTGTTTAATCTCAGATTGTGGGAATAACCATAGCAACCAGTATTTCTTAGATTTTTACTCTGTTTATCCCAGATAAAATCTCATTCCAAAGAAGGTTCCTGCCTTTCAAGCAGACATTTTTTCTTCACATTGGTTGGTAATCACCCATAATCATGAATCATTGATCGTTTGGCTCTGTGTGGTTCTGGAGGTTCTGCCCATGTTCGGTCTGCTCTTTGCAGAAATGCTGCGGTTTTGCTCCACTGATGCTGGATCTGCTCTCTGCGTTTCTTCTGTGGTTTTTATGAGTTTTACAGTCAGATGCTGTTGCTTCCACACCGGATCAGGAAACACAAACGTTATTCTCTCTGTTTTTGCTGCAGGCAGCTTCACTCCTCACTCTGTCACAGCTGGAGCATCAAAACAAACCTCATAACACTGAAAGAGGGAAGCTGAAGAATTTGGATTCATGCAGAGGTTGCATTGGCATGTTTTTAGTTTAATATAAAATTCTTGATTTGATTGAAATGCATAATGTTGCCAGGCGTATTTGGTTAAAGAATCCATCAATTCTGATCGATATGAACAAATATCCGCTGGGTTGAATCTGACTGAAAAGGGAGCGTTAGAGGAGGAAGAACCGGCCGGACGGGTGGGTTGCATCACCTCCAGGTTGTGAAACAGAAAGCGGGGAGCTGCCAGGTTTTGCTTTTCAGACTGAACAGAACTTCCAGAGGATTTTCACCCAAAGACACAAACATCAGCTCATACAGAAAAAGAAATCACTTTAAGGCAACAGATGGCTTTTCTGATTCACTTTCCTTTGGTGTATTTTTTAAAACATATCTTTGGCTGTTGAGTAAATATTAATATTAATACAGTAATTATGTTTTCCATTCTGCCCACTGTGTGGTGGAGCTTATCCTCCACCATCTGTTTGTTGTATTTGTGGTTTCTGAACTTTCAGCCCTGCATTAAACTGATCACAGATCAGATCAGAGATAAACTGCTGGAGTGAAAACTGAACTCCTGGGTTGATTCCGGCTGCGCAGGTCGAGCCGGCAGCAGATTACTGCGGACTGAGGTGTGGATTATTTGTTGTTATGGCATCTGAAGGCTCCAACCTCAGCTCTGAGTCTGTCTCATGTCTGCGTGTTTGTGGATCAATCTGCCCAACTTAAAAACTCCATCCACTTTCCCGTCCTGAAACCGCAGCTCCCGCCGTGGCGCAACGCTCCACACACACACAGAGAAATTCTGACTTCTCTTTCCTCTGCGGCGCACTGCTGCAGCTGCGGCCTCTCTCCGCTCACTCTGTGACATAACTGGAGTTTCCCTTCTGCAAGAGCAGCCGCCACTGCATAAATACTACGAGGCGTGCTGGCAGAAGTTCATTCTAACCCAAAGACAGGCGTAAGCAGAGAGGGCTGCCGGCTCCAGCAGACTGCCAAGTGTTTCAGTCGGACACCAGAGGATGACGGGATACAAAATCACAGCGGGTGACGTGGAGGCCGGGCCTCAGGACAGGATGGAGGTCCTGGTGCAGAAGAAGTCGTCCACAGGGTTGCTGTGGAAGGTGCTGGCGGTGCTGCTCTTACTGGCGCTTTGCCTGGGAGGCGCCCGGCTCTACGTTTGGTACCAGCTCGAAAGATCACATTCAACAGTAAGGAGATTCTCCTGAATGTCTGGGTTTAATCTGAAGTCTGGTTTCACCTGTGGAGCATGTTTTTAATCAATGTTTCCTCTCCTCCAGACGCAGGCAGGACACACGGCAGCACCAATCAGAATGGACTCTGACGAGGCAGCAGGTGAGCATCAACTGGTGTTTATTCACATGAAGACAGAAAGATTCGGTTAAAGATCATCTGAGCTCATATTTGTCTTCTCCTCCTCAGGCGCTCACTCCACGCTGAAAGAAATGAGCAAAAAGGCAAAAGCAGCCATTCATCTAGAAGGTGAGTCCCGGCCTGCTGCAACCCAGAGCTCCCAGACGTTTTACTGAAGGAAGAGTTTCACTCCTTCAACATGTTTTTACAAAAGTTAACGTAAAAATCAGTCATTAGAAAAATTACTCATGAAAAAATGAAGTCTAATGAAGTACTGATGACTGACCAAAACATCATTTAATGTTTAAAAATGACATCAGATGGACCAAAACATGGAGTTATGTGGGAATTTTGATATTTTCAGGCTCAAAATGAAAATAATTGATATGAATAACTACAAAATCAGGAAAAACAAACATTTTTCAAAATCACAAAATCTTACATCTCTGGTCTAGTTTCCAGTGCAAATATCTGAGTTTTTTCAGGAAGATACAGGAGTTTGTTTTAAATGAATAATTATTTGATATTTATAAAGAAGTTCTAGTTGGGAGATTATTTCACTCATAATAAGACATAAGTGAAATAATCCATCAGAACTTTTTCTTCAAGATTAAGAAATGATTTACCTAAAATAAGCTCTTATGTTTTACCAAGCGGACTGAGATGTTTGCACTAAAACTAGACAGAAATATTTGGTAATATTTGATGTTTTTGCAGTGTTGACCCACCTGCGGCTCCAAGGCAGAGATTTAACTTGTGAATCTTTTCAGGTCATTATGACGAAAATAGCAACGCGACGGCCGTGGAGTGGCGCGACCGCGTGGGCCAGGCCTTCTCTCAGGGCGGTTTCCGTCTCCATGACAACCAGATCATCATCCCAGAGAACGGCCTGTACTTCGTCTACAGCCAGGTGTCCTTCCGGGTGTCCCGGTCCAGCGACCAGGAGGGCGAGTGGCGCCCGCCGTCCCTCAGCCACCGCGTCCGCAGGATGTCTCAGGCCATCGGAACCAAGGTGTCCCTACTGAGCGCCGTGAGGTCGGCCTGCCAGAACGTCCAGGAGGACGGCGAGCGGTCGGGCCACGGCTGCTACAGCACCATCTACCTGGGCGCCGTGTTCCAGCTGGACAAAGGGGACACGCTGGAGACGGAGACCAACCAGCTGAAGGAGCTGGACACGGACGAGGGCAAGACCTTCTTTGGCGTGTTCGCGCTTTGAGCCACTGCTGTGATACTAAGAGACTGATCCTGGACAGGGTTAAAAAAAATGCACATTTTTACACTTTTATTCAGTCTGAAGGTGATGTAGAAATGCTAACATCTCCATGGAGATGGAACTAGACTTTATGAACTGTAACAGTTTGAAACTTTATCTCTGTTTTAGGCACTTTTTGACTTTATTTATGTTGATCTCAGATTGTAAGACTAGACTTCTGCTGTAGCAGATTGAAGTGTATTTCTCCACTATTTACATTTATGTATTTATTTATATTTATTGGTATTTAAATTTGTGGGATTATTGGTTTAATATTATATTTAATATGAATAAAAATGCAGAAAAATTAACAAAAACTGAAGTAGATTTCTGAGACTTGAGAGAGACTTGAAGGCGAGTTGGAAGTTCCAGTTTGCACGCATGCACACACACACACACACACCACACACACCCTCTCTCTCAAACACACATACTCTCTTAAACACACACACACGCTCTCACACAAAGTTGGCAAAAGTTGTTTGAAATTCCTCCCCAGCCAGCAGATACTTCCTTTGTTAGCTCACAGCAGCGGAGGGGAATTTCCTGCTCGTTTTCAGTGACCCACTGACTGCTGTGTCAGGTGGAGGCCCGCAGAAGTCTCAGCCTAGATCGGGTTTTCCCCGGTGACGCCCCCTCACAACCCACACACACACACACAGTAACACACCCTGCAACCTTCCTCCTCTCCTCAGCCACCATTACCACACACTCTGCCTTCAATCAGCTGGAAACTGAGACAACACGGGAAGCTGTTTTCTATATGTGTGTGTGTGTGTGTGTGTGTGTGTGTTGTGGGATCATGGGACTACACCACAGCTGGTTTGCATCACACCATCATCATCTAAAAACACACTTGAACACTAACAGTGGCAGCAGTGGGAGCGATTTGTCTGCGTTTGCGCCCATGGTCCCGGTAATGAGGCTGAAAACAAACCCAACTTTCTGCTTAATGAGCTCTTCCTTTTGTTCCCACTGGTCATCCAGAAAAATGTCTCCACACAAACAC